GTGGGGGGGGGAAGAGATATTTTTAGAGGTGGCTGGAAGGCAGGCACTCTGGCATACCCCCAACTGGCGGTGCTTCGCTCCAATGCAGGGGGCGGGGGGGTGCGCAGCTCGGGGAGGCCGAGGGGACTAGTGGGTGGCGGGGAGCAAAGGGGCACCGATTCTTTGGCTTTTTCCGAGTCAGGAACCGAGGGCTATCCGAGCAGCACAATCCTGGCGCAGGAGAAAGAAAGGGGATTCATTCCTCCGCCCCAGGAACTCCCCCACTGACACACACGTAAAGAGCGCCCTCAAACTCCACACTGCCCCCACTCCATACTGGGACCCCAGCCTTCCCGTATCTTGGGGAGCCCAGGACTCACGTCGGGAGCGGCGGCGGTAGAGGTCTGTCCCGGCTGAGTTTGGAGAGTAAAGAGTGGGGAGAGGGGCTAGCTGAGATATTTGGGCTCAGGATGGAGCCAGGGGTGCTTACGGGAATTGGAGGGGACGCGGTGTCTTATCCACCCCCGGATTTCTGGGGTCCGGCTCACGAGTCCCTCCGGTCCCGAAGGGCCGTGGATGATGTGCGTCTGGGCCGTACCCTCCACCTGCCCTCCATCCCCCCCCGCCCGCCGCCGCGTCCCCTTTAAATGCCGGGGAGCCGGAGCCCGAGCCGCGGCTGGCGCTGCGGCTGCCGCAGCACCCGCGCCCACCGCAGTCCTCGCACGTCACAAGCGACTGTCCAATCACCGCGGCGCCGGCGCACATCAAAGGGGCGGGCTTCCCGCGGGCCACGCCTCCGGGCTGTCCCGAAGGCTCCCAGAGCGTCAGCGAAGGTGGGATCGGGAGTCGCGGTAAAGGGTAGGAGGGTGGGCAGGGAGCGCAGCCCTTTGGAGGAGCGTGGGTGGGGGGGGGAACCCTCATTAGAGCAGCTGCCGGGCGCTGCGTAAGTCCCCGCCCACGCACTCGGGAGTGCCAGGGCTGTGGCCTCTCAGTCGCCGCCTCCAGGGCTCTGATCCCTGAGATGTGCAGAAATGCACCCTCACCTCCGGCTCTCATTCTGTTCTTAGCCCATAAACCCTGTGGCAGGCACCGGATAACCCAGACCAAGGACAGCAATTCCTGTTTCTCTCCCACGTGCACGTACCTAGGTGCCCTCTGCCCTGCAGGCGGAGTCACAGCGCCCCGTCCCGGCCTTTGGAACCCTTCCCCCGTTACAAGTTACAGCGGATTGCCAGGAATGACTCTCCCACTCCCCTACCCTATAAACAGTGAGTTGAGAACCGAACAGTTTGCCCCTTTGCGAGTGGTGTTGTAAATAAAATACCCACTTTCTCCTCTGCTTCCTAAGAGTTTGTTCCCAGCCACACTCCTCTACCCTCTTTCTGCCCTCCCAGCCTGGTGATGAGGAGGAGAGGGTATTCTGTTTAGAAAGGAAAGAGGTGAAGCTTATATTTACTGAGAACATACTACAAACCAGCACTGTACCCAGTACCTGCACTCATTGTTCAATGCTCACAACACTCAGGAGAAATTACTCTCCCAAATTCAAGCCCAGGCACACTTGACTCGTGGGATTCCAAAGGGGCTGTGTGGGTGGGGAGAATATAGGTGCCCCCAGGCCTGGGACTAATGTCAGTCTTTCCTAAGGCTCCCCTGCTCCACTTCTTGAAGACAGCCTGCAAATTTAAAAGTCCCGAGTGATCTGAAAGCCATGGGGCTGGAAACCAGAGAGGGAGTGAGAGTCAGCGAGGAATTATCCTAATCCCTGTGCCAGGGGCTGGGGGTACATTAATGAACAGGACACGTGTGTCGTGTTTCCACATATACAAAGGGAAACGAATGCTTTAAAGCTGCCAACCTGATCCTTAAAACCCATGACAATAACTCACAGTGTCCCAACTCCTGAAACTGGCTTGCTGTTCCACTTCATCTCATGCAGCCCCACCCCCTTCACTCTTCACTCATTCTTCCAGCTCTCAAACACACCCTGCTCTTTTCCTGGGACCTCCTTCCTCAAGAACACACCTCTCCCATTTGCTGGGCAAGCTCAGCCTTGATATCATCTCTTGCCTTATTACAAATCCCGCAGCTCTTTTTATTACACTGATCATGTGTGCGCTGCCAGAGCACGTAGCAGGTGCTGTAAATATTTTCTCATATGTCAATTCATGTAATCCTCACCATTCTATGACCTGGGTGCATGGCCTATTTTACTGTTGGGAAATCAAGGCACAGAGAGTTGAGCTGGCCCAGGGTCACCCAGCTGGTGAATGGTGGAGCTTGGTTTCCAACCTGGTTTCCTTAACTATTACTCCGCACTATCCCTCTCAATGTCTGCCATCCTTACTGTCCTGTAAGCGACATGAGGATGGGGACCAAGTTCAACTTATTTATTAATGTCCCTAGCATATAGACCCTGGCACACAGTAGTCCTTAGATGTTTATTGTTGAATGAAACAAGTCCCCTTCTGCATTCCATTTGTGTTCCTAGTTTAATCTTCACACTGAGTCACTCCATGATTATCCCCATTTTACAACAGGGAGATTAAGATTCAGATCACATGACTTGCCCAGGGTCACAAGCCCCAGGAGGTACTAGATTCAAATGCTGACCTTTCGATGGAATTAGCCCTTTCAGCCTTGTTTCCAAATTCACTGATGAGGCAGGGGAAGGGGAGCGCAGGTGGCTTTGTGTTGTCGCCTATAGGGAGTTCTTACTGACTGCCCAAGTCTGCTTTCCAGAGATGGGAATACCAAAGTTCTCAGGAGCTGCATGCAAAGTGCCTTTGTGGTAGAAATGTAGAAATTCCTAGTTCTCCCTACACTCAAATTTTCAGGACACAATCCTATCTCTCTTTAAACTTTCGCCTCTCTTTGTGCCAGTAAGTAAGCAAGTTGGATGATCAGCCAAGTGCCTAAAGATGGAGCCGGAAATGGAATGCAAATCCCACCTCCCACTTCCATCCCAGCCCCCAGTAGGTTAAGGCCTCCGGCCAGCACTCAGGCTGCAGAAGTCCCTCTCCTCCTGTGGGGTTCACCTTAGGACTGTTAGATGTTCTGGCAGAGAGCCTGTGGGGAGTCATCTGAGGTCACAAGGACAGAGTGCCCCAGTGAACCCTAACTCTGGCAGCTAGGGATGGAGCTGGTCTTTACAGAGGGTGTAACTCTTGCCCAAGGTTTGGGTGTTAGTGGCAGGAAGTCCAGGAATCCAGGGGGGTTCACCAGGACTGTTAGATGTTCTGGCAGAGAGCCTGTGGGGAGGCATCTGAGGTCACAAGGACAGAGTGCCCCAGTGAACCCTAACTCTGGCAGCTAGGGATGGAGCTGGTCTTTACAGAGGGTGTAACTCTTGCGCCAGGTT